AGATGGTATGATGTTAAATACACAGGATGTCCAAACAGACTTTAGGATTCAGGTGCATAGATCTTTAAAATGCCACAAACAGGTGTACGAAATAATCAAGAAAGCTAATGGAATGCTGGCCTTTACATTTAGAAGTCTGGTGTACAAGGACGCACCAGTTATGCTGAAACTGTACAAAATCCTGTTTGGACCCCCCTTGATGTACTGTGAGCAGATCACTCGGATCTCGGTACCATATCTTAGGAAGGACATATTGGCCTTGAAGGGAGTATAATGCAGGTTTACAAGAATGATATCTGGACTTCAAGGGCTAAGTTATGAGAAGAGATTAGACAAATTAGGCCTGTTTTCTCTAGAATTTAAAAGGATAGGGATAATCTGACTGAAGTCTTCAAGATATTATCAGGAAAAGATAAGGTGGATACACATAAACTATTTCCACGTTTGGGAATTCTAGAAGTAGTGGGCAATCTCTAAAAATTAGGGCAGACCTTTCAGCAGAAATGTTAGGAAGAATTCTCTTCCACAAACAGCAGTCTGTCCTGCATCAATTGTTAATTTTAAATATGAGATAAAGTTCTGTCAAGCACAGGTATTAAGGGATATAGGCAAAAGGCAGGCATATGAAGTTAGGCCACAGATCAGCCATGATATAATTCAATGGCAAACAGGATCGAGGAGCTGAACAGCCTATTCCTGTGTTGCAACTCTGCCAATCTGTCCATAGACCGTCAAAAGTCACATTTCTCAGAGTCATTAGACATCAAATATGATTCATTTTTATGGCATCTTTAATTCAGGGTGGAAATGCAGGACTTGTACAATCGCATGGTTTATACATTTATAGGAAGTGCCCTTGATTGTCTCAACTCAAACAGATAGATAATATTTCTAGTATTGGCACATGACTGTAACACTGAAACACTTTGAAATTGTTTCAAGTATAACTTAAGAAGCTTGTGACACTTGTGAAAATACAGGTAATTCATTATTTTATCGACAAAGTTTGAATTTAATTGAGTTCATAAGTGACCTATACGTCATTTAGTTGTGCATTGAGACATCATAAAAGACCCTTCCATTTTGTTTTGCAAATTAACAATAAATAAGACCAGTGGATGTACCTGTTTGCTATTGCCCAGTGTTTCTTTTGCTTCCCTTGCACAGACATAAAGGAAAGTTTCACTGTCAAGTTAAACTAATAGTTTAAGAGTTGCTTCTTCTGGCTACATATGGCAAATTGCACTCAAAATTCACTTGAAATTATGCAAATCAAATTTTTTGCTAGAATTCTTTTTGCATAACTGCAAACATAAAACCACCCCCACGGGCCAGCACAATAAAACAGTTTAACAGATGTAATTCTTACTCTTAACTTCCCAATACAAACTAGTTCTTGATGTATTTAATAGTGGCGACCTAGTGCAGTTCTATTAACTGAGCTTAAAATGTGTTTTTTTACAGCAATGATCATGGGCAAATTTAATGTACATATAAACTGGAAAAATCAGACTGGCAATGGTAGCCTGAATGAGATATTCACAGAGTGATTTTGAGAGTTTCTTAGATCATTACGTTCAGTTCCAGAACAGACAGCAGATTATAACAGATTTGGTATTGTGTAATGTGACAGGATTGATTAATTATCTCAGGGTAAAGGCATAGAGTCATAGAGTAATACAGCATGGAAACAGGCTCTTTGACCCACACTGGTCCATGCTGTCAACTCAGTCTGTTCCAATTGCCCGTATTTGGTCCATATCCCTCTAAACCTTTTCCATCCATGTACCAATCCAAATGTTTTTTAAGTGATGCTAGTGTACCTGCTTCAACCATTGTCACTGGCAGCCCATTCCATATATGCACCACTCTCTGCATGAAGAAGTTGTCCCTCAGGTCCTTCTTAAATCTTTCCCCCTCACCTTAAACCTATGCTGTCTAGTTTTCAATTCCCCATCCCTGGGAAAAGGACTATACGCATTCATCCGATCTATTCCCCTCTAAATTTTGTACACCTCAACATCACGAGTATCGGCTAAACTGTTCCAGTTTTATCTCCTGTTGACGAGTTACGTCCTGTATCACATGCCCAAAACCTTTAATCAAAACTTGGTTTAACCAAACTTTGGAATCACAATGTTATTGAATTTTACACCCAGATTAAAAAATAAAAGAATGGGTCTCAGATTAGTACTTTATATTTAAATAAGGGCAACTATTTGGGAATGAAAGCTGAGCTAGTTGAAGCAAACAGGCATATTAGATCAGGAGATAGATCAATAGAGAAATAGTTGCACATAATTAAAGGGGTATTTTAGAATACTCCTCATAAGTATATTCCTATTATAAAGAAAAAACCCAACAGGGGATCCACTAGCTGTAGTTAACTAAATAAGTTAAGGAAAGCATAATACTTAAAGAAAAAATGTGCATAATCGCACAAAGATGAGCAATGAGATCGTTGTACAGAATATAAAATAACTGCCAATAATGACTTGTGGATTAATCAGGAGGAAGAAATTAGAATATGAAAGGAGACTAGCTAGAAATGTAAAAATGGATAAAGGAGTTTCCACAGGTAATTTAACATGGAAGAGTGTAGATAATGTCACTGTTGGTCCTCGAGAGAGTGTGAATGGGAAATTAATTAATAATAAAATGGCAGAATGAGCGACTGTTTTGATTCTGACCTCACAGTAAAGATTGCAAAAAGAAAAAAATTTCCAGCAGAGCTGTGAATCAGTGGTGGAAAATTGACAAGAACTTTGTAAAATTACTATCACCAGGGAAGGGGCACTGAGTGAACTGAGGGCGTTATGAGTTGAATAGATAGACATCATCCTCAGTTCTTAAGGAAGTGCCTAATGAGGTAGTAGATACTTTAGAATTAATTTTCCAAAATTTCAGAGATTCAGGAAAGAGTTCATCAGCCTGGTAAGTAGCAAATATAATCCCTCTTTTCAAAGAGAGGGGGCAGAGAAGAGGAATATACAAGTCAACTAGCTTGATGTCCATTGTGGGGAGTGTGTTAGAATCAATCATTAAGGAGGATATTGCTGAGCACTTAGAAAAACTCAAAGTATTTGGGAAGAGTCAGCATAGTTTTGTGAAAGGGAAATCATGTTTAATTAACTTATTGGACTTCCCTGAAGAAGTAACATGCATTGTGGATCCTTGAACTTCCAGAAGGCATTTGACAAGATGTCACATAAACCATTATTGCGAAAAGTAAACCACATGGTATAGGGTATAAAATATTAGCATTAGCAGAGGATTAGCTGGGTGGTAAAAAACAGGGTGCATGCATAAATGGGTTTATCAGATTGGCAGGATGTGATGAGTGAAATCCCACAGGAGACTGCATTGGGGCATCACTTATTACAGTTTACCAAAATGATTTGGATGCAGGGGGCAAAGGGATAGTTGCTAAATTTTTAGATGACGTGAAAATAGTTAGGAAGATTTGTTGTGAAGAAGACATGAGGAGGACGTAGATGGATATGCACAGTTGAGTGAGTGGGCAAAAAATCCGGCAGATGGAGCACAAGTTGTTCACTTTGGCAGGAAAGATAAAAAAATTAAACAGAGCATCACTGCAGAATTTTGAGGTGTAGAGAGATCAAAGTGTTTTAGTGCAAAAATCCCAAAAATGAGTGTGTAGGTATAATTCATAGAATCCTTCCAGTGTACTTAGACAGCATTTGACCCATTGAATCTGGAGGCAGTTCAGAGAAGTTTTACTAGATTGATACGTAGAATGAGTAGGTTGTCTTATGAGGATAGGTTGGACATGCTGGATTTATTTCCGCTGGAATTTAGAGGTGAGACTGACAATTTGACTGATGTGTACAAGATCCTGAATGGTCTTGCCAGGTGAAAACTGTGGATGAATATTGAGCTGGGGGCACTGTTTGAAAATTATTGGTCAGTATTTAGGACAAGGAAGAGATTTTTTTCTCTCATAGAGTGTGCGCATTTGGAACTCTGCCTCAGATGTTGATGGAGGTGGGGTCATTGAATATTTTTAAGACAGAGGTAGATAGATTTGCATTAGGCAGTGGAATCAAAGGTTATTGGGGGGCAGCTGGAAGTGTGGAATTCAAACACAAACAGATCAGCCATGATTTTATTGAATGCTGGAGAAGGCTTGAGGTCCAAATGGCTTAGATTTGCTCCTAACTCAAACGTTTGGACCTAGTCACCTGATTGTGCACTTTAAATAAGAGAGTTCAATGCTCTATATGCAGAAAATGATTTAAAAGTCATCGAAAAAATGAGTTTTAATGCAAAACTGAACAATTTGTAGTGTGACTGGTGCACACAAGGCAGCTTAATTTTCATCAAAGGCAATGAAATTGTGCCTACTGTATGCCCAAGAATTTGAACCAGGTTGACTGGCAGAACTTTAGATTCTAAGGTTTGAGAGTAGATTTGTAGCTCGGGCTGTGGATGTTGTAGTTGGTTGGCTCGCCGAGCTGTTTTGTTGTTTCGCAGACGTTTCGTTACCATGCAGGGTAACATCATCAGTGCAGCCTCCGATGAAGCGCCGTTGGGTTTTCCCACCTGTTATTTAAACTCAGGAATCCATTGAGCTGGATTACCTCACTTCTGGTTTTCCTTCGCAATGGAGTGTATATGGGTTTGAGCTCTATGTATCTGTTGATGGCGTTCTTCGTGGAGTACCACGCTTCTAGGAATTCCGTGCTTGTCTCTGCTTTGCTTTGGTACAAGTCGATTGAGTCAACACCAAGATCCTGGGACAAGCAAAGCAGAGACAAGCACAGGAATTCCTAGAAGCCTGGTACTCCACGAAGAAAGCCATCAACAAACACATAGAGCTCGACCCCATATACACTCCACTGCGAAGGAAAACCACAAGTGAGATAATCCAGCTCAATGGACTCCAGAGTTTAAATAATAGGTGGGAAAACACAACGGCGCTTCATCGGAGTCTGCACTGACGATGTTACCCAGCATGGTAACAAAATGTCTGCGAAACAATGAACCAGCTCGGCCAGCCAACCAACTACAAGGACTTTAGATTTTTATTTGGGATTATAGGGGACTGATGGGTGCATTGAATTTTCAAATGTTACAAAGTATTGAGAGTAACGTAAGCAGGGCTTATTTTGGGAGATCCTTGTTTGTGTTGAAATTACGCTGATCTTTTGCGCCTTTTGGAGAGATTCCACCCAGATTATGGGTTGAAACTCTACTCTTAAATTTCAAAATAGACTTGATAACAGGGTCACAAGGACTTAATGCGGTGTATTTGAGTTTGGGTAGTAGTGTGAAATGACCAATATCAGATCGACTGCTGTTAAACATTGTCCCAACGAGGGTGATGTATAATGAAAGGCTGAACAATAATTTCATCCATCTGTTTGTAGATACAAAAAAAATCTTATTTTCACACAATTTATCCAAAACAATAATATCCATCATCAGAATCATTTTTGGATTCCTTATTGATAGATTCACTGTTAAGTGAATCTGTTGTTACACATTCGTCCGAGAAGGGATCTAAGTCAGAGGATGTGCAGTGACCTGGCAAGTCATCAGCCAGCGTGTCCAGGTAGCTCCCCACTGAGATTTCATCAAGCCCATCACTGCCATCTTGCAGGCTATTCCAGCTGCCTTGGAGTGAAGTGATCTGGCTTTCTGCCAAGCTATAGAGACTGCTCGTCAAGCTGCTCCCCCTGCTTGTCACATTGCCTTTCTCCTCCATCATCCACTTAATCGATTCAATACCTTCGTTGATGGACAATAACTGATGCATCAATTTGACATCGATTGCCCTGAGGCGAGCCTGAGACAGAGTGAGAAAAACAGATCAGTTCATAACGTTACTTAATGCCTGTTAAGAGTACAGGCAGTATACAGACCTAAAATTTCTCTGAGGCCACAGCTGAAGTTTTGCATATCAATTTCTTGTTTGAAAGCTTAAACTTTGACCTTGGTTTCTCCTTTTGTATTTTTGGCATCATTTACAAAACAATCTTGTGGAAGTAGAACAACTTCAAACAATAATACAAGATATGCCATTCATAGAGTCTGACTGTGTTTATATTCCCACAGCCACTGAATTACTGAAGAGTCCTGAAAGACAAATTTTATTGAACCTGTTTATCTGTGAAATGAAAAAATTCTGGGCTAAATGTTCAAGCTCCTGTCTGCTGGAAATAGAGCAATAGCACCCCTCAAAAGATAGTAGGAACTGCAGATGCTGGAGGTACTGAGATAACAAGGTGTAGAGCTGGATGAACACAGCAGGCCAAGCAGCATCAGAGGAGCAGGAAGGCTGACGTTT